TGGTCCAAGTGGAGCAACATCCCCTCCCGTCATCAATGCGTAGTCTAATCCCTAAAGACAATTTGAATCAAGCAAAGAAACGTATGAGAAGGAAGAATATGTTAAGGATGAAGGATGAAAATAAAACAAAAGCTGGCAGATCAAAACCATCTGAGTATGAATGGAGCCATCATGGAACATGCAAATCATATACACAGTTCTAGAAAATTATTTCATGTTAAGGGCACGTAACTACTTTCCTAAATAACAGCACAGCCAGGAGTGTTCAATATTGTCTGGCAGAAGAAGCAACAAAATGAAAATCAAAACCGAATACGTGATTGGTTTAAAGATAGGATCAGATCTCATACAGATTTACGAGCCATCTCTCTAGCAGCCATTGTTTTCCCAGTTCCTGGAGGACCATAGAAGAGCATGTTTCTGAACGGTGCTTGATGAGATTTTGTATTAGCAGTTGCCTTAGCCAAGTGGTCAATTCTTTTCTGAAGAGGAGGGTGTAAAATAACATCACCAAAGGCCTTCCCATTTTGTGTTTGACCTTTGTTGCCACTGGGAGATAGGGCGCTTATAGAACGTGAGAATAATCCTGACCAAGGGTATTTTCCTTTAGAGGACTCTCTGATAAGTGATGGTTGTCCCAATATTCTATCCACATAGCTCCATATCACCTTTGAACCTTCTCTGCATTGGATAAATAACATGTGCATAAGTTATGGCATCGTGGAGAGCAAATGGCACGGTAAAATTAATATCCCACACAAATTATTTCATGAAGGTAGACTGTAACCTGCTATGACTTTAAACGCAACCCTATCTCTGTGAATCAAATATCAGACCAGAATACCAAAAAACAATAAAAAAAAACTAAGTTCCAGAACTTAACAGTTCATGGCATTTACTAGGGGAATAACCAACTCTAGAGTTTCATGTCCTAGGGAGTTGGTCCCCGGGGAGAGAGAGTAAAATGCCAACAAAGCTTTTCTTTTTTTTCCTCTCTCCACAAAAACAAACAAAAGTTACTAAGCAAATTAAGAGAAGATGAACCAGGATATAGAAAGCAACAAATAGATCCCTAGCTTCCAAAGGAAAGGCCACAAATAGGTAAAGGGAAAATACAGTATTTCAAGTATTCGTTTAAAATATCAACACAGACCTTGTTGTGTAAACACCTGCAGCTAGAGCTGTAACTCCCCCAACAGCAACAACTAGTTTATTCTGATCTGTCAGAATCACTTTCAAGCCACCTGCAGAAAATAGCTAATTCTGCATCAACAGTTTTTTCAGAAATAACATTAACTTTCATTAGTTCAAACTTCAAACGAGTATATGATGCCAAATAGAAGAGCCGCCCATTTTTAGTTTGAAGAAGAATCATATTTCTTTGTATACAATAGAGGAAAAGGTAATGAGTATGGACAGTACCTCCAATATGATCAAAGGTGGTATTTATGGCAGAAACCCATTTCTCTTTCTCAGCTTTTGCTTTCTCTAACAGCAGGTCCCTTTTAATTTCTGCAGTCAGCTTTGCTTCAAGGGCTCTCCCTTCTGCATCTGCCAAAGCCTTCTTTTCGAAATTTTCACGTTCTAGCTTAGCCTGCTCCTCTGCAGTCCGTCGACGCTCATGTTGGATCTGCGCTTCTGTTTGTCGACGAGCTTGTTCCAGCCTATTTGCTGATTCTTCTTGCCATTTTACCATCTCTTGGTTCCTTTCTCTTGCCAATCTATTTTCATTCTGCAGTAACATCAACGAATTAAATTTAGAATTGAATTTCGTTTTCTGAAAAGCTTCTGTGTGAAATCCCAAGAAAAGTTCAAGTCAGCTTGCCTCCATCCTCTTCTTTGCTAATTCATCCTGATACCTAGCCATTTGGGAATTTGTTTGGGCTTGAAACTGAGCTAGCTTTTTCTGCTCCTCATAGATGGCCTTCTTAGTATCCTGTCAGGTGATGAAGTAGATAACTTCAGCAAAAACTTATGCCAGATAAATCAACTGGGGAGTTTACAAACATATAGCCTATAGGGTGTCACTAATCCAAAAACACCCTAATTGGGGAAATAAGTAGAACTTACCGCTTCAATTTGGGCTTTCATTGCAGCATACTCCGCAGCCTTTGCCTTCAACTCAGCCTGCCTTGTCTCTTCGTGCTTCACCGTAGCTCCAATGACCTATGCAGTGGCCAAAGAGCAACCATTAAAGAAAACATCAATTCACGGAAAACCATCAAAACAAAAGGGCTGCTTGATGAAATTTCAAACACATCCTGTTACTTCTCTCTAAGCACAAACATGGATAAAGTATAAGACGAACTAAATGGCATACTCCATAGCTACATGCATTCCAACGTCTGAATTTAGACATGAACCATACATTCCAACGTCTGAATTTAGACATGAACCATCAATACTAAAATTCCAATTGCTATCTAGTAACTAAATAACATATGGAGCCCGCCAATAAAAGCGGAAGATCAAATCCCAGTTAAAAACAACACATATAATTTCCGAAAAAGAAAATGCAAACCTCTTTGGCATTAGAAGATTTGACAATTTTGTCCAACAACTTAGCAGCGCGCTCCAGAGGCTCAGGATCGAAGCCAGCGGCAGATGTCCTGGGTTGATCATTGCGAACCTTGGGAGGGGGAGGAGGCTCGGCAGCACCTCCGGTGGAGGAGGTCGACGGCGGAGGAACTGACGGCGCAGATTGGAGATGAGAGGAGTGGTGGAGGGTTGTTGGGAAGCATTAGAAGAAGAAGAGAAGGGAGAGAAGTTGAAAGGGCCGTCGGCATAAGCACAGTCGGAGTTGGTCTTGGAAAAGGAGGCGGAGGCCGCCACGGCGGCGACAAGCCCTAATGCATATGTGGGCTTGGCCATTTTTGCAATCCCTTTTTGGGGGTTTCTAGTGAAAAGTAAAACCCTTTGGAATTAATTGGATCTTTGGAAGAGAGAAATGGGAGGAGGGTTTTAGAGAGGTTTTGATTAGTTTATATTTGTTGGGAGAAAAATGTTGTCGTGATGACCAAGAAAATCAACCTATCTAATACTCTTTTCTCTCTTTCTCACATGGCTCTTCTTTTCTAACCATGGAAAGCGGTAGAGAGTTCAGACTCTCTCAGTTGAGGGTTTTTGTAGGGTTTGTGCGAACTAGAGCAATTTTTTATTGTGACGGGATATATCAAATGTTTTTATGTAAGTGGTAGGAAGTTTTATTTTTTAAATTATTAATTTTTTAACATACATATTATACTATTTGTATACTAACACATAATATACTACGTGGTGCGCTGATCACACTTGCTACTAGGACTTGGGCGGGGCAAGCGAACGGGTGTTGGCTTGTTTCTATAAGCTGGGCTTCTCAGATGTTTAAGTGGCCAGGCCTCTGTCTGTTTCTGCAAGATCTCTGAAAGCCAAGCCCAGCCCAGCCCAAATTTTGATGTCTCACTCTTTCTTCTTTTGATAAAGTGATAATTTAAATTACTCTATCACGAGAGGGAATTCGAAGAAGTACCGAATTCAAATAGATCAAATATTTTCCAAAATGAAGCTAAGGTTTTAACTTAAATTCAACACAGTTCTTCACATGTGAGTTCATTTAAGTCTGACATATGGACAAGGATAACATAAATTGGGTAACCTGTGAGCACGAGGTTCACTAGGCTCAATTTAATATGCTATAATATCATGAAGTAAGTTGTGGTTCCACTAAAATCATTATCCAAACTTCTTGTAGGCATATGTAAGGTCTCTTATTTCTCCCATGTGAGATTCATTCTCTCAATATCCCCAACAATCCACGTGCACTCAAAATAGTCCCGAGTCCAATTCTTGTCTTCCCTCGTATTGCGTGTACCAAAAAAATTCTTCCCTCATGTTGCTCGTATTAAAAACAAAAATAAAAATTGATGATCATGCTTAATTGTAAGTGTCTCTACACTCTAGAAGGGTTTCATTTTGGTGTTTCGTAGCATTAGATATTATAAATATTGGAAGTCATGGATCCACAGGACCAAGTGAAAAGTAATCCAAATCAATTCATATCATCCACTACTTGTGGCATTTAATGCTACGTAGTATAGAATAATTTTCAGTAGAAAAATGCTAAGAAGACTCTTTCAAAAGTGGAACTGTCATAGACTCTCCATTGTCTAATGTTTTAGGCATAATGTTTCATAACATTAATATGAAAATTGACGTTAACATTTCTCTTTTCCGTTAAGTTTTATGCTGATGGATGACGAGTATTATCCAAATGAATAAACGGTTTTAACGACATTGAGCCAACCCTGCAGGTCCAAGTACAAAACGCATTTGGTCTTTTGGTTTTAGGTGCTCGGGTGTAAGCTGTTTTATTGTCAACAGAAGAAGAATGCAATTCAATTTCCCTATTTTCCACCCATACAGCTTTTGCAAGTGCATCTTCTGCTATTGTCGATGTCACTGTTGGGCCTTTACCCCGATTGCACCATTTTTATTTGTTTTCTTTTCTTTGCTTATAAATTGTCTATTCTTCGTTGAAATTAAAACATTCGCTAATTAATTAAAACGAAATTGTTAAATAATTAAAATACAGTTTTAATGAGATAAGTTAACCTTCTCAACCATCAACACACAGAAAAGGTGCGAGAGCAGTACTAGCTAAGCTAGAGATATTAATCATATTAAAATACCAAAATCCGGTACTCGTATCCATCAACAAAATTTGATAGGATATGGATGTTGGATACCAAAGTTGATATAGTTTTTCAAAGGATTACACGATGGAGCTGATGAGTTTAATTCACTGTGTCAAATCAAATGGGATAAATGATAAAAAGGACGATCCCAAACTAGCAAGACTTCTCACTTTGCAAGAGTTGGAAGAACATCTTTGATACGCAGTCTTATTTGCCTGAACATTTACTCTTGGTTTGCAAGAGACTGTTTTCATGACTCGAATCTGTGATCGAAAAATAATTTTTCCGTTACATCAAGGCTCGCCCTCCAAATTGGATAAATACATATGAAACAATACAGCACAGTACAGGCTAATTATTAATTAAGAAGATTCATCAAAATTACATATAAAAGTCAACACGCATCAATCAAGAGAGAGATCTTTCCAGCAGAAATAATTTTAATTAGCTAGGGCAGCAGGGGTTGCGGTTGCAAGCTTGGCTCTGAGGTCTTTTCTCAAGATCTTTCCAGCCGGAGACTTTGGAATTGCATGGACGAAGTGCACCTTGTGCAGTCTCTTGTAAAACACCACCTGCATTTTCATTCATCGAATTTCACTATTTCAGAATTAACTATAATTAATTCCTTCGCAAACTTATGTATTTATATATAAGGTACCTGTTTTGCTATAAATTCTTTTACAGACTCTTCAGTAAGTTCGAGACCACTAGACCGAACCACAAATGCAACGGGAACCTCACCAGCAGCATCATCTTTTTGCCTGCTCGTTGCAGTATCATTAATATACAAATACGTTAATCCTATGTTTCGTTCAAGGTTTTGCAGACATTTTTAGTGATTAATTAATGGTATTAACTAGACATTATTGTGTAAAAATACTTACGGACAACAGCTGCATCTGCAATGGATGGGTGGCTTATAAGTAGAGACTCCAGCTCAGCTGGTGGCACCTGTAAAGATGAAACAGGATTATGTATATATAAGCCCCCGAATATACATACACATATATATGTGTGTATGTATGTATGTCATTCACGAATGATTGTTAAAAAGCTCGAATAAAAATTAATGCATGCATATATCATTAACAAAAATATATTATCGTCACGTGCATACTTGGAAGCCTTTGAATTTGATGAGCTCCTTTACTCTGTCAACGATGAAAACTTCATCGTCATCATCCACATAACCCACGTCACCAGTGTGAAGCCAGCCCTCCGTGTCTACGGTGGTTGCCGTAGCCGCAGCATCATTCAAATATCCTGGTAGATTAATGTATGGTTAATTACTTGGGGGAAATTAATCATCAGCAAGATCAGAGATCAATTAGTTATTAATTAAAGCAAATTAATATTTAGGATATATACGTAGTTAATAATTATACCTTTCATGATTTGCGAGCCACGGATGCAAATCTCGCCGGGTTGGTTATAGCCGAGTGAGAGACCAGTTTCAGGGTCAAGGACCTTGAGCTCTGCATTTCGGACCACCGTCCCACACGATCCTGACTTGGTTGGCATCGGTTCCCTTGCGAATGCCATGCACATTGACAACACAGGCCCTGCCTCCGTCATCCCATAACCCTACATTCATGTCATTCACAGTAATTAATTAGTTAACCATCAGTTAACAACACTTAACGTCAACTAATTACGATTTACACGTACTTAACTCAATTAAGATAACTGGTAAGCATATTCTAATTAGTACTTGAATGAACAAACGATAGATCATTAGCTATTAAATTTTGGTCTAACAATATTTACAAGGCAAGTCTTTAATTCCATTAATCATTATTTTTTCCGAGTGTAATTGCATGCATGCTTTTATGTCTTTTCGTTATTTTTTTTTTGCATTTATTGGTCTAAAAAAAGCACAACAAAACTATAACCCGAAATCAAATAAGGTGATCCTAAAATTTCATAAAACAAATTTTGTAGGGAATTAGCTAAATTTTGGGGTGCACGAGAGGAATATAGGTGCCATGGTGAGGATTAAATTAATTTGAAAAAATTATTCGGAACACGTAAATTTGTTTTTCAACACGCACTTTAACAAGAGAGTTAGTGGTACTGTTTGTGTACACATGTCACATTAATTGACTGGCCAGCATGCCGCCCGCCGTATTTCCATATCAACAATAACAGCAAATGTTACCACCCAACATTCGTTTTCCTCTACCCTACAACACCACTTTAACACGACATTCCATTGAAACTGATAATTTAGAATTGCGAGTAATGCCAAAGAAATGTTAGATTTGCAATTCATATGCTCAGCCCGGGTCCTATAGAATATTGTATGGAGGGGGCAGTGGCATTAATGTCATCCAATCCGATCTAGAATTTTTATAATATATATGTTTTGAGAGTGGTATATACACACCGGAAAATAAGGGCCTTACAACTAAATCAATAGGTAAATAAAACATACACATCCATAGTTCGTGTTTAAATTAATGCAGTAGCGAGAATTAATAATGTCTATGCGTTTTGCTGCAAGTTTCATCCATAATGATACTCTCCTTAATATTTAATAATTTAACCCACTAATACTAGTTTTTGCCGAAAAACAAACAGGTGCATGTTTTTCCACATTACCAAATATAAGTAGTAGAATGTATAATATCTTGATACATGCTTCTAATAATCATTGCCAATTAATCTTAAACTAGATGCTCCAATTCTATTAATATAGCCACAGTCCCAAAATACAATTTCCTTAATCAATTGAAAAACTCGAGAATGATATCAACTTCCATTCTTCTTTTCCACTTCTTCATTCATACTATGATTACAAGTAAACAAGAGTTAATCGACCGTATTAACCAATTAATAATTGATGAGTGGTCCCATTTTCCTAGTGCTACTCGTTCCCTTTAGTTTCGGGAAAAAAATTTATGGAAAAAAATTAAGGGGGTTTCAGTTGATCATTCAATATTCCCAGTGATTTTGTCTGGATCGGCGGCGCTAACTAGCATGAATGAAATGAAAGTGAGGAGAGGAATGATTGAAGAATCCGTTGAGAAACGAAAAACATGCTACTGTCATTGTATGTACGTACGTATGTATGTATGTATGTATGCGTTACGGAAATACAAGTCATGTGTACTTGTACTACTAACCTGACCCAACACTGCCTCAGGGACTCGGCTCTTGAGCGCCTCCTCCAGCTCCTTCCCCAGCGGCGCCGCTCCAGACAACACCACCCTAATAGAGCTCAGGTCGAACTCCGCCACCATTGGGTTCTTAGCCAGTGCTATCACCAGCGGCGGCACCACCGCCGCCACTGACACTCGGTACCGCTGAATCAGCTCCAGCAGCGTACCTATCTCAAACTTGTGCATCAGCAGAACTCCCGCCCCTGCTCGCAGCGAGCACAGAAGCACGCTGTTCAACGAGAATATATGAAACAACGGCAGCACGCACAATACGACATCGTCCTCCTTCAAGTAGAGGTTTGGATTCTCTCCGTCCACCTGTTGGGCCACACTGGTGACCAAGCTCTTGTGTGTTAGAATGACTCCCTTGGGGAGCCCGGTCGTCCCCGAAGAGAACGGGAGGGCCACCGGATCCTCTGTGTCGATCACCACGTCCGGAAGCTCCTTCTCGTTGGCCTCGGAGAGCACTGAGAAATGCAAGCAATTCTCTGGAGGATCGTCGATCGTGACAACCTTAAAGTCTTCGCCGAGTTTCGGGAAGTTATTTTGGTCGGCGCCGTCGGCGGAGGAGGGATGTTCGTGGAGCTTATTGACGTACTGGGATTGAGTGATGATGAGTTTGGCATTAGCGGCCTTGACCTGCTTGAAAATCTCGGCGGCAGTGTAAAAGGGGTTGGCGGTGGTGGTGACGGCGCCGATCATGGAAGCGCCCATGAAGGCGAAGACGAACTCAGCACAGTTTTGGAGGAGGATCATGATGACATCACCTTTTTGGATGCCGAGGTTGGAGAGGCCTGCGCCGGTCTTCTGAGAAATGAGGTGAGTCTCGGAGAAAGAGTATGATTTTCCGGTTGAGCCCACGATTAAGCAGGGTCTGTCGGAGAACTCGGCGAGGTTCTGGAAGCAGTAGCTGTGGAGAGGGAGGTGGTTGGGGATGGGTATGTCTGGTAGTTTTGATCTGAATACATGGTTAGTGGTGGCAGTGGCGGTGGTGGAATCAATAATATTGTTGGTGCAGGCGGGGGGTTGCAATTGGGTTAGGTTTTGTTGGGGGGTAGAATTAATTTCAGACGGCATGAGATTGGTAGGTATGTCTGCCGGCTTTTGAGTTTGACGGAATTGGAAGCAATGGTCATGGTGTCTGTTACTTCTTTATGCGTGATCGACCAAGAAACAAATTGCAATATACAGAAAAAAGAAGTGGTGGAAAGAGGAGGCTTGATATATAATAGCAAGCTTATCAGGGAGCGGAAATGAATCAAATGATGATGACTGATGAGAGAGAGAGAGGAGAGAGAGAGAGGAGAGAGAGATAGGTAGAGAGAGTAGCTACGTACGTGTGCGTTGTTGTTGTTGTTGTTGTTGTTGTTGATCACAGATAAGTGGAGTTAGGGAGAAGTGATAAATACGAGGAGAGGCCAGGCCAGGTGGGGTAAGAAGGAGGAGGTAGGTAGGAACAAGCGTTGCTGTGTGTGTGAGGGAGAGGGGTAGGTCTGGCGGATGGAGGTTGAGTACTGTGTTGGGTTAGAGGGACAGCATGCCTACCTCACGTTCAAATTCAATTACCAACCAACCAAGGCTTTATGTCATAATCAATTTATAAAATATATACATATATATATATATATATTTTTTTTTCCAATTAAAATAGAAAGAAATATAGTGTTTAAATGAAAACTAAATTTTTAAACAAACCCACCCTGCCATCCGCGCAGTTTAGCCAACATTACTAAAGCCTTCCCATATGATTAAGATATAATTAGTCTATCTAGTATTTTGCCAAAAGAAATGAATTTTCACCAACGGTGATCTTATTTCCTAGTTTTGTTGCTGGAAAGCGAATAGATTTTTTCCTGCCTACCAACGAACAAACCATGCATTAAAACAATAAACTGACAAAGCATCCATTAAAAGAAGAAACAAACTCAGGGTACCACATGATGACAACAAGAGGGGAAGTAATGCTCTATTTCACTTTCATTGTTTTTCTTCCTTCATTCTCCAAACTCCAGCCCCAGCCACAAATGGATTATTATCTTAACAATATTTTACAATTCACCAGCCCAACTGAAGCCCACCACCTCCTCGGCCCATATTTTGGGCTGCCTCCGTCTTTCTTTTCGTTAAACCCTATTTTGTTTCTGTTGGTAAGTTGGTAACTGACCTTAAACCCTACTTGAGCTCCGACACAACTAACGGTTTTCGACAGCCCCCTTCTTCCGCGCGCCCCCACCCCTCTCTCCCCCCCTCCCCCCCCCCCCTCTCTGTCTCTGTGCTGAGAGCGGAGCTCCACCAATCCTCTCATGGCGTCTCTACCTTTGAAGAAGAACTACCGGTGCGTGCCCTCTCTGCAACAGTTCTACTCCGGCGGCCCCTTCGCCGTCTCATCCGACGGCTCCTTCATCGCCTGCAAATGCGGCGAGTCCATTAAGATCGTGGATTCATTGGACGCCTCGATTCGGTCCACTATTGAAGCCGACTTAGACGAAGTTACCGCTTTGGCCCTCAGCCCCGACGACAGTCTGCTCTTCTCCGCCGGTCACAGTCGCCAAATTAGGATTTGGGACCTCTCCACCCTCAAGTGCATGCGTTCTTGGAAGGTAATTTCCTAATTCAGTTAAAATTAAATCAAATGCTTCACTTTGACTGGATATTAATTGGTTACCAAGAGAAATGAAAAATTATTGAGTATGTCATTCTCGGTTTTGGATTAGGGTCATGAGGGGCCAGTGATGGGAATGGCTTGTCACCCGTCTGGAGGATTGCTTGCGACCGCTGGAGCTGATAGGAAGGTTCTTGTTTGGGATGTTGATGGCAGCTTTTGCACTCATTACTTTAAAGGCCACAAAGGGGTTGTTTCTAGTGTTCTCTTTCATCCTGATCCTACTAAACAACTTGTAAGCTCAATCTCCACATAGCTCTTAACTCTCTTTTCCGCCTCTATTTTTCCAGATGAAGTGGGGTTGAAACTACTTCTTTTGTCCATTTTGTAACAACTCATCATGCTGATTGTCTCTATTTTATTAGCTTTTCTCCGCAAGCGATGATACAACTGTGCATGTTTGGGACTTGTTAACCAAGAAGTGCGTTGCAACGCTTAATGGGCATAACTCCACAGTAACTTCTATGGCACTTTCTGAAGACGGATGGACATTGCTCACAGCTGGAAGAGATAAGGTAAGGCCTGAACTTGGGTTCGCTCAATACTTTAATGCTATTTTTTTTGTTACATACGCATGCATCTGTATGCCTCAGTTTACACTTTTATGTTTTCATTCAGTACCCACTAGTACTCTCTTTGTTTGTTCTGAGCCTTAGCCTTTGCAATAGAGGTGGCTAAGTTTGATATGAGTCTGCCCCAATTAAATATTGTGACGGGTTTTTTGGGTCATGAATGAGTAGATCATGGATAGTGAAGGGTTTCAGAGCGAACCTTAACTAGATTGTCTACGTTGACATAAGATATGCATTTGTCTAATTTTCAATTATTTGTTATGCACTCCTGAACTTCTATTTTGTTGGCTTATTTTCTCAAATGCCTGCTTTATTGTGTCTCACTGGAAAGTTCACTGAGCATTATTTGTCATGCTCTTTAGTTTCCATTGCTGTTGATATGTCAACAAGGTATTGATTGCAGAATGGTTTTAGGTTGTAATTTTGTGGGACCTCCATGACTATAGCTGTATGAAGACTGTAACAACATATGAGGTTCTTGAAGCTGTGTGTGCAGTCTATTCTGGAACTCCATTGTCATCCTATTTGGGTTCCTGCAAGAAGCAGAATGGGAAGAAAAGTGGATTAAGTGAAACTTGTTTTATAACAGTTGGTGACCGTGGGATTGTACGGATTTGGAATTCTGAAGGGTAAATCCTAAGGGCATTCTTATACTATTTCGTTTGAAGTAATTTAAGTTATAACTAATTTTACTTATGCATTAATAATTGTGAGTTTGTTTGCTGGTACTCTATTGATTTTGACAGTGCAGTTTGCCTATATGAGCAAAAGTCCTCAGATGTCACTCCATCTTCAGATGTGGATGAATCAAACAGGGGATTCACCGCAGCCTGTCATGCTTCCTTCAGATAAAGGGTTGCTTTGTGTGACTGCTGATCAGGAGTTCCTTTTATATTCCCCAGTTAAGTTGCCAGAGGGGACGTTGGAATTTGAATTGAGCAAAAGACTTGTAGGTTACAACGATGAGATTGTGGATATGAAGTTTGTAGGAGATGAGGAACAATTCCTTGCTGTTGCCACAAATCTTGAACAGGTAAATGTACCGGTCCTACTGGATTCATATCTGTCTTAAGTTATGTATATTGGTGACTCTCAAGTAGAATTGGTCTCTACTAAATATGCAAGTTTCTTCTGAAAGGAAAATATTCAATGCTAATCGATTGTTGCTTCATTGTTATCTTAAAGGCCTTTGAACTGAATTCTTGGTTAACAATTTTGGTGAAAATTGGTTTTTGACATTAAAATCTTCTACAAGAGGCCCTTTTTCAATCTTTTACCATTATGTATTTCTACCATGTATGTTTGCAAAAAATCCTTGCTTCACTGACGAGGAGTTAGAATTTGTGCATGCAAATTTTCTTTTATGAATATTCTGGTATACATGAAGATATTCTCTGTTCTTAGTGAGTTTTGTAGCTCAGCATCCATCTGTTCATTTCCAATTGTCTTTTATTGGGGAATTATTGTTGTTGACATTGTTCAGAAACATACATTTTTGTTGTTTTCCTGGTGACCTGCTCCTATCTAGTTGGGTGAAGTTACCATGTGGGTGCATGCTTCAAGTATATGTGTGTTTATGAATTATGATATCTGTTATATATTTGGTTATTGATTTATTATTTAATCTGGAAACATGCAGGTACGAGTATATGACATTGCGTCTATGTCATGTTCTTATGTATTGGCAGGTCATACCGGAATTGTTCTATGCCTTGACACCTGTGTATTGAGTTTTGGAAAACCACTTATTGTGACTGGGAGCAAAGACAACACTGTAAGTTTCAGTTTCTTTTCTTCTTATAGGGTAGTCGTATAGATTGCAATAACTCTATTAGAAAGGCCAGCCTTGTGAAAAACACTTCCCTTTACCTCATTCTCATTTCTCACCCCTCCCCTGTGACTCTTCTCTCTCTCTCTCTCTCTCTCTCCCTCCCCATATCTCTGTGTTAATAAGTTATTTGTTTGCATTTAGGTTCGGTTGTGGGATTCAGAAAGCAAATGTTGCCTTGGTCTTGGCATAGGTCACATGGGAGGTATTGGAGCTATTGCTTTCTCAAAAAAGCAGAAAGATTTCTTCGTTAGTGGCAGTAGGTGAGCATTTATGCAGCTCATCCTTTTACCAAATTCTGTCTTACAGTTTGTTCACAATTGTTACCTAAACTATCTTTGTTTGGGTTTACTGGTGATGCCTTCAATAGTTAAAAAGATCACCCTATGGTTTGCAACCCCAAGGAGGATACTTCTGTTGAGCTCTATTAGATGCTTAAAATGACCTATATCATTTCTTTGTCAGTGATCGTACCATCAAGGTGTGGAGTTTGGATGGTCTTTCAGACAATACAGAAAAGCCAGTGAATCTGAAAGCAAAGGCTGGTGTAGCAGCCCATGATAAGGATATCAATTCAGTAGCTGTTGCACCAAATGATAGTTTAGTTTGTAGTGGTTCACAGGTTTGTAGGTTTTGAGGCAGTGCTTCTTTGATTCTCTTGCATTTATCATATTACTATCTATAGTTGATGTTTCTTTGGAAGAAAGGAGGATCCTAAATATGTTGAATGACACTACCTTATAAAATTTTCTGGGTTTCTCATTGATCAGGATCGCACTGCTTGTGTATGGAGGCTTCCGGATCTTGTACCAGTAGTTGTACTTAAGGGTCATAAAAGGGGGGTTTGGTCTGTAGAGTTCTCTCCCGTTGATCAATGTGTTATAACAGCTTCTGGTGATAAAACAATAAAGATATGGGCCATATCTGATGGTTCGTGCTTGAAAACATTTGAAGGGCATACGTCAAGCGTATTAAGAGCATCATTTCTTACTCGTGGAACCCAATTTATTTCTTCAGGTAAACTAGGCTCAATTCCCACTTTGGTTCTTCTCGCATCCTTGAAACTCCGATTATATACGCATTGACTGTGTTATCATTTTCAGGTGCTGATGGGTTGGTAAAACTGTGGATGGTCAAAACCGATGAATGCATTGCTACATATGATC